ATCGTAATAAACTGACTGTTTATATAACTAACAGCATAACTAATCATTATTGATACTTTGAATTAGCGTTGTTTTCGAACAATAATTATTGATCTAATATTATTGTCATTAAATGAAATTTTCATATAAAATTTACAAGAAAAATAAAATATTATTATATTTCTTAATTATTAATGCAAAGATGAAAATACGTCAGTAGTATTTATTGATTTAGTAGTAATATTGTTTTCAAACCTTTAAAACTTTTCATTCAGTATTGTAACTCTAGTTGACTGATTATCTATTAAAAATATCTTTATAAAGTTTTCAATGATAATACTTATTATCAATACTATTATAAACAATGTTGTCTCATTTCAGAGACTATGAACCGTATGATTCAACAGAAAAAAAAAGAACAGTCAAATTTTATGGTCTACAAAATTCTCTCTATAGAAAAGGTTATGAATTAATTTGCATTATATTTTTTTATTCATTATTCAAATATTCTATGCCTTGTTCGTATTCATATATACATATAAATATTAATGAAAATATTCATCATGATATATTTCATATTAGTTGAATGTAATCACACTATCATTAAGATATTTAATACAAACTTTCAATTCTTCATATATTTCGACATACGGTATACCGTATTCGAAGAAACCATTGAACATTATTAACAAGATTATGAAGTATACAAAAATCATATGTTTCAACATTGTGAACAACATATATTTTCACTCAAATATATATTTTGTTTTTCTCTATATACCCAACAAAAAAAAGACAACATCATACGTCACTAAGGGAAAAAAACAAATATTTTATGAAAAGTATAAATGATGTTAATATTCTACTAATATATGGTGTTTTGATCAAAAATGAATATAAAGTATTTGATTTTCTTCGCATAGTAAAGGATTCACATACATAAAAAAAATCAAGTAAGATTTATATTTATTAAGACAATATGGATTATTTATTAAATACAAACTAATTTTTACTTCGTGATAGAGCTTGTAAAATCTCGACAGGTATAGGAAAGACAATTGTTGAATTACGTTCAGCAGCAATTTGTGTTAAAGTTTGTAAAAGTCTTAATTGTAAAGCTACAGGTGATTCATTAATAATATCAGCTGCTTCTTTTAAACCTCGACTTGCTTTCATTTCACCTTCAGCTGCAATTATTTTTGCTCGTGCATCACGTGATGCTTCAGCTTCAGCAGCCATAGCTTTTTGTAAAGCTACAGGTAAACGAACATCTTTGACTTCAACACGTTCAACTTTAACACCCCATGGATCAGTAGCTTCATCAAGACCAGTCTATTTTGAAAACACGAAAAAAAAAACCGAATGCATGATATTTATTAAGAATAATATTTACTTGAATAACTGTATCAATCTTATCACGTTCAGCAAGAATTTCTTGGAGTGTTTTCGTACCCAAAACCTAAAATTAATTTTCAAAAATTTATTCTAAAGAAAAAAAAAAGATTAAATCTATTTAATTACATTTCGTAGTGTTGTTGCTGCTAAAAGTTTTGTTGATTTAGCTGCATCTTCAACATTGGTTATTGATATAACAGCATTAAATATTCGAAAATAAACAACAGCATCAACAGCTACTGTTACACTATCTCGTGTTAGAATTTCTTGTGGTGGAACATCAAAAGTAACCGTTCGAAGATCAACTTTACTGTATGTATCAATACATGGTAAGATAAAAAATAGTCCTGGTCCTAAATACAAAATCATTTATAATCTTATGTCAAGAAAATTATTAAATTGATTTAGCAATCATCTCTATAGATATTAGTTTCAAGCGATTAGACATCTGTTATTACACAAATGGATATTTTCAACTCAAACTAAAGATGCCATCTGTTCTAATACTCATTATACAATGAATCTTCAAGATGATACATTACTTGAAGAACAAAATATTAATATAAGAATCTTCGGCAAAAAAATAAAGATATTTATAATAGTATATCCTTGAGTTTCTTTTTTTATTTTAAGTCTTGATTGAAATCTATGACTAATGATCTTTCTATTATTAATTATTATTTATTTGAGTTAACATGACAATATAACGACATACATATATATATATACATTCAATAAGCTACTTACCACGTGCTCCATCAGCTAAGATTCGACCTAATCGAAAAATTACAGCTCGTTCGTATTCTTGTACAACCTTTAAATTATTTTTAAAAAAAAATTCATTGTTCTTTTTTTTCTGTCTTGATGAATAAAAACAAATCATATACATACTTTTAAACAAAAACATAATGATAATGGAAATGTAATAATGACAATGAAATAACTTAATAAAACAAGTATGCCAAAAAAATAACCTGATTGTTCATGTTTGTCTTGGAGGTCTAAAAAAGAGACGAATTTAACTCGTCGCTTCTTAATCATAGATTAACAATTCTTGTCTACAAATCTTTATATTTACAATAAAGAAAACGAAATGTGAACCATATAAAATTTTTCTCTATTTAAGGCTAATAAAAAAAAATAATTCAAGTAGAAAATTGATCATTATCGATTTATTATTAACTTACAACTACACTTTTCTATTCAGTTGCATGAGTAAATCAGAAAAGATACTTAAAAAAAATTTACCATATATACCCGAAAGAACATGAGTGACCGCTACAGATTGTTGATCCATATTATATCCCGATGATGGTATATGTTGTGTTCGAAAACTTGATATATGTTGCCTATCATGTCGATTATGACGTGATGAATTACGATAATCATCACGTTCTTCATTACGATGGCTCATCATTATGATGAATAGGTTTTCTTTTCTTCTTTCTCTTTATTTTCTTACTGATCCATTTGTTCTTCGATCGTTGTAAAATAGAAGCGAAAAATGTCGTATACACGCTCGTCCGATGCCAATGATTTCCTGTTATAATTGGCGAAACGTGCACATTTCCTCTCTCGGGGAATGGAACAGACAAACAGATATACAATACACTCTCTTTTTTTCCATCTGTAAATCTCGCTTTGCGTGCTCAACAACATAGATATATAGAGAAAGTTTACCAGGCATCGTTTCAGCAAATGTCACTCTCGAATGGATATAGCCTTTTTTCTTTTTTACTAGTGTCTTGTAATTACTAGATTGTTTCGCTTTTATCATGTGATAATTAAGGTAAAGAAGAAGCTATCAGTAAACATGAAAGCAAGAGATAAATGCAAAACGATTTTATATAGAGGATAAGTTCCTATATGTTGTTTTTTCTTGTTCTCTCTTTCTCTCTTTAGGCTATTATTAGCTTTCTATTATGACATATGCGATAGACCATAAAATTAACTGAAACTGTTTATACATGATAAAAATGATCGTAAAATCCTCATTATATGTTGAGACAATATTTATATGTTATTTGTAGAAGATTAATTGTATCACACTTTACTCTCTGTCTATTACCTAGATTATTAACTAATTATCACGTTTTCTTTTGTTTTTTTATTTCATTAAGAAGTTTTAATTCGAAAATTTTCCAATGATTAAATTTTCATAGAAAAGCAATTAAAAAATTTAAGCAAAAAAAACAAAATGATTTTTTTTTTCTCAAATTCACATACCATCTGTAGGTCGCTGTACGTGTACTTGTGGAGGAATAAAAAATGAATATCTCGAAAGACGTCGAGCAACATTTCCATCATTTCGCTGACTTGCTTGTATCATTGGTGTAAGATATTCGTCAGCACTTAAAGAACCAAATTGTGTTCGATAAACATCCGCTCGATCTGATCCACGACGTATACCATATTGTGCCGAATATGTAAAACCATTATGAGATGCACTGCCAGTTTCAGCATCTAACAGTGATGTATCAAGCATGCCATGCATAGGTAATAGATACTAACACGAACACCAAAATCTATTGTTGTTGTTGTTGTTGTTCTTTTCTATGATTGTCAAAGTCACTCGATTCTAGTTGTACAAAGTTATTAACTACGCACGCTATTTTCCGACTAGTGTGTTGGCTATAGTATGTTGTCGTCACCTGCTATCAAGGGATTTTTCCATTCATTTTAAGTATATCTATGTAGATATATATATGTATTATTTCACGCCCAGTTTCCTCGATAAGTGTCTTCGTCGTGCAGATTGACATAAGGAGATATAGAAATTTTTAGAGCAACGAAAGAATTAGAGAGACAGAAAAAATTTTCACCGGAAGAATTTGCTAGATAATTCGTTAATTTTCTCTCATACGTTCTTTCCTCGTTTTTCTTTTTTATTTTTATCTACAGTTCTTCTTTTTTCTATCTTCTTATTGCCTTATTGTTAATAATGATTTGTAACGAACTTATTATATTTGTCAAAATTTTCTTATCTTATTTCTTCTTTTTCTTGCCTTTAGTTTCTGCCTTCCGGAAAAAAAATTATTATGAATAGAGTTACTTTACTACCGGCAAGTTCAAGAAGATGAATTATCATTCAACCATTCACTACTATAGATCTAATTTTTTTTAGATCAAACGCATAGGAAAGACAGAGAGGGAGAGAGTGGGCAAGTGAAAGAAAGGAAAATAAGTGTATTTTTTTCTTCTCCTTATTCTATAGTGAATTCAATATATTGAAATGGAAGCAACATGTAGAATAATCATAAATCGAATTATGTATTCGTCAGAATTATCTTGATGATCACGATCTTCTTTACAATCGCTTCAACACTTTCATATATGTCAACATTTGTTAAATTAAATAAGAAACTAGCAAAAAAAAAATCTTAGATGTCAGTATAAAACAAATGTATGCTTTTTACAAGATCTACTTGATTGATCAAGTGTATGATTTCTCGGCGAGAATGATAAAAAAGATATGTGTCAGAAACGATACTAATTTATTTAGTCTAAATAGTTCAACGATACAAGCAAAAAGACAGTTTTTTTTTTCTATACAAATCAAGAAATAAAAAGAAAAGATATTCTTTCTTTAATATAATGTAAGAATTTTCTATTCAATTCATCATATCAATTAAGAAATGTTTACATCAATTAAAATCAATATCGCATCAATTATTCATGATATAAATGAATGTAAAATACTATAAATATTGTATATTTGAGCAATGTATAACATTATGAAATTTTTTTTTATCATGTCAACTGCAATCTCATCTCCAAATATGATCTTAAAAATTAAAACTCGACCTTCAACGCCTATGAAACGTCGTTGTTTAACATCACTTCAATGTAATGTAAGAAATAATATTAATATTCAACAAGGATTACTTGATCTTATTGATCGTCTAAAAAATTCAACTGATTCATCAACACAATTACTTATACGTTTATATCATCATAAATCTGTTCGTCTTAATGATCAACCAGAAAAATTATATTTATTTCAACAAGAAATTTATTCTGGACTTCGTCGATTACATCCATCAATTATAGATTCTTCGTTATTAAAACAAGAAAATCAATTGTATATTGTTCCACAACCTATTATTACAAGTCGATCTGCACAAGCTACTATTCGAAAACTTCATTGATTTACGTTCTTTTTTTAATTTTAGTTTTCAATAAGCAATTGTTATTATTTTTATAATAAAAGAAAAATTCTCTTAATAGATTTTTTTTGTCTAAAGAAAATGTTTTGTATATGTGGTTGAATCGATCAAAAGATTTTTTTCTTTTCTTATTCAATCATAATAATTTTAAACAGAAAACTTGAAATACACCTTCTTCACCTTTCTTTTTTTGAAAAAATAAAAATTGAAAGAGAGAAAAAAAGAAAATCCATGGTTATATTTCTTTTTCATATGTTGTTTTTTTTTTTTTTATTCAACCTCAAGCAAACAAAAACTAACAATAATACGTATTAGTATAAATGCATTACAGACAAACATTTTTTTGTTGTCGTTCGAATAGGTTTTAAAAAAATCGAAATCGATATAGAAGAAAAGAAAAAAAACTTCTTAATATGTTTCCATCTGAGGTAAAAGAAAAATAAAACCTGGAAGAAGACGATTATTTAGAATAATTTTATTTTTGTTTGAAATAATTAGAGTTTAAATGATATTGTTGAAGATCCAACATGGGAATTAGGTGATGATGTTTATCTTGAAGATGATTATATTGAAGAATCACAAGTAGAATTAGGTGAAAATGAAATTGATCAAAAAGAAGTTATTGATCGAACGAGTACAAGTCATTCAGTTCGAACACCAACAACAAAATCAATAAGTTCCTCAGTACATGGTGATAGTAAACGTGTTCGATTAAAAAATCCACATCAACAATTATATACTTATGGTAGTGTATCAGTTAAACGTGATCCAGCTATTGAATCAATAATTGAATCAAGACAATTTTCTATTATTGAAAATGGTTATACACGTTTAGCACAAACTACATCACAACCAACTAAACTTTCACAACGTTCAAATCCATTTGAAGTTCCTATATTAACAGAATCAGATACAGACATTAAAGTTAGAAACTTTACTTCTCAAAATAAAAAAAAAATATCAACATTACCAACAACTGAATTAGATAATCAAGGATGGGATGATGCAGTAATTGTAGAACATGAAAAAGGTAAATATAGAATCTATTGCAAAAAACAAAATGTAATTCTATGTATATATATATATATCCTACTGATGAGTAGAACCAATCGTTTTTGCTCTCAGTCAGGAAAATTTTTGATCCTCGTTTCGCACTTAGTAATACATGTACTAGCGACAGATGCGATATCATTTTCTAGCAGTGTCAATGAGCTCGAGACACCTTGCACGATCCGCATGACCTGTAATATCCTTCCTTGAAGAGAATTTTACTATCAAGATTGTAACGGCAAATATTGAAACGATCGTAAAAGATATCATTTTGTAATGAAAAAAGTGTTAGTTCCAATCTCGGAAGTATACTACCTCTATTCATTTGTTTTTTCAATAGAAAGTATGTCGGGATTAGATAAATCATGTGTACAAATATATGAAGAAACATGTACACGTTTAAATATTTGTCCTTGTTCAATCATTGTTCGATCATTAAATACAACAGAAATAAATTTACGTAATTATGGACTTGGTCCACGAGGATGTGCAGCATTAGCAGCCAGTCTTATTGTAGGTTTTATTTTTCATTTCAATGTATCATTTTCAATTGTTAAAATGTATATTTAGCGTAATACAACTGTTTTATCACTTAATTTGGCATCGAACAATATTGGTAATGGCGGAATGGCATATGTCTATCGAATTCTTACAGAAAATATATATATTGAGGACTATGTATGTAATATATATATTTTAATATATGGTTAACTTCAGAGTGAAGTTTTAAGTCTTAATAGCTTCTAAAATATAGCTATTTTACGATCGAGCATCACCAATGAAGTTTAAGTCCCTTTTCCAAAAAAGTTCAAAACTCAGCTGTGAAAAATTATTTTCATTTGAAAATTGCATTAGACATTCATGTGAATATTCTTTCGATTATTTACATAAACTATGAGGATTAACTAATATCATGATTCGAGAAATTCATCGGAAATGAATACACACGCACACACACTTGGAACATACATTGGAAGATAAGAATGAGGAACTAAGAATCATCCACTCTACTATATCTTTTATAGTTAATGTTCGTCATAATTCATGTAAAAATATAATAATTAAACTGTATAGGAAAAATATCCATAGGTTAAATATTGCTAGAAAAGACTTCACTTACAAGCAAAAGTAAAAAACAATATTTGAGATTAGCTGACAAAACTGCAATATTTTTCTTACGTTTACGAATTATTCAAAAGAAAAAAGCATGCAAAATTCTGTACGCTGATCTTGAAAGGATTAAACAATATTTTTCTTTATTTTTATATTCAAAACAATATCAATGGATTTATTTTTAATCTTTTAAATCAATACTCAAACTTTGAAGTTTCCGAAAATGTTTATTTCTTCTAAGTACATATCAAAAAAATTTGTTGAATGTAGATTCTGCTATTTCTTATGAATATTTTAGACTTTGTACTTTCAAAAACAAAACGAAAATTCGTAATATGACTTTAGACATTCCATTCTTTAATTTTTGAATATTTTTACATTATTTGTTATAATTAGAAAATATAACATCAAACTTTTTAAATAATAGAAAATATTTCCTTTTTTTTTTCTAGGATCTTTCATTTAATAACCTCGGTACGAAAGGTATTCGTAAATTAGCTGATGCTCTTACTCAATGTGCTCAAATAAAAACTTTAAGTGTAGCTGGTTAGTAATAGAAATTTTTCGATTTTTATTATTAATATTTATTATTTCATATAGGAAATGAATTATCAGCTAATGATATTAAATTTTTACTTTCAAGATTAGAGGTAAATAACGTTTTTTGATTATAAAAAATAATATTAACAAAAAAAAATTATAAATAGGATCATCAAAGTTTGATAACTCTTAATATAAGTCATAATCAATTAGATGAAGTAGGTGGAAAACATATTGCTGAATGGCTAAGTAAATTATGTTTTTAAATTCAAGAAAAACAAAGAAAATGAAATTTCTATATTTTCAGCTGATAATAATATGTTACTTAATCTTGATGTTAGTTGGTGTAGTATTCGTTTAATGGGTGCTAAAGCTTTAGCTAAAGCAATTGGTGATAATAATAAATTAATATCACTTGATTTATCATATAATAGCTTTACAAATGATACAATTGAAATATTAACAAATTCTTTAACACGTAATATGTCATTATGTGAATTAAGTTTACATGGTAATCAATTCATATGTAGATATGATGCAACAATTAAAGAAAATCCATCATTATTAATTACTGGAAAAGATTGTCAAGTATATAAAATGATTGTATCTGCTGCAACAAATCAATCATTAAAAATATTTCGAGTACAACAAAAAAAAAAAAATTTTGATGCTTTGATTTTTTCTTTTTTTTTTTTGGTTTCAGTTAGGACGAAATCATATTGATACACGTTGTTTAATGATAATATTAGAATCATTATCACAAATGAATAATATTACATTAGAAGAACTTGATTTAACAGTACGTCTTTTTTTTTTGTTCGATTTTCATGAAATTTATTTCATTGAGATATGACTTTGTTTCTTTTTCTTTCTTTCTAAGGGTTTAACAATCAGTGCAAAACAAATATCAAAAATTGATTTACTATTTTTAAATCATCCTAAATTAACATGTTATGTTGGACCAGTAAGACAAACAGTTGAACATTTTACAAATCATCTTTTAAATTTAATACATGCTTATTGTGAAGAACATTCAATTACTTTATCAGATATATTTAGTTCAAATGAAGGAACACGTACGACAATATCAATAATTACATATGAACAATTTCTTAATGGATTAAGAAAAGCAAAAATTCCATTTCCAATAGCTCGCATTGATGATATTATGAAATATTTGGTAAGTCTTTACTGTTTTTTTGCTTTCGTATTGTATTAAAGAAATAACAATTTTGATATAGGGACGAGATAATGAACCAGGACAGATTCCACTTAGGTTTGAAAAAAAAAGATTTTCGATTTTTTTTTAATGTATTAATTATTTTCTTTATAGATCAATGAATATTGGTTAAATAATTGTGTTAAATTGCACTTTTAATATTTATTCTTCATGTACATTAATATTTATCATATCCTTCCTCATAACTGAGTAATTAATTAGTCATCATGTTGACGTATGTAATGGTTCGTTTGATTCGTCTGAGTAATCTATTCATTTCATCAATATATTTCAGCATGTTAATAAACTTTTTGACTATTTAACGTGTTCTCTAATGTATTTATTCATAAATAATAAAAACATGATGACAAAACAAAAAAGTAAAAGAAATATATTCAAAAAATTCCATGACAATCATAATTGAACAATTCAAATTAGAGACTTATTTTTAGTCATGACATACTCGACATATTCTTTCTTATTTTTTTCGTCTTCTTCTTCTTCTTCTTCTTTCTCCGTCATTCTATTTATTTGACATAGCATACCTTCATCGGTCATGCATTTTTTTTTATATATTCACTCATAATGAACACATGCGTATGTTTGACATGATGATTTTTCTTTCTAATAAATAAATGCTTTTTATTGACGTATTGCTGAAGAAAATGAGTAAAATTTATCAGTTATGATTTTTTTTATTTGCGTAATTAACACATGCAATTGATAAGATTTATCGTTGGCACATCTCTTTTGGAATTTTAATGAGAGGCATACTTCTAATTAACAAGTAAGAAGAGCGAAACTATTTTTCTTTTCTATGAGAAATATATTACATAAAAACCAAATAGTTAAATGGAATGCGTAAAATCAGCTATGCTGTCAATAAGTTCTTCATAGACATATATATAGTAGCGACTGTCTATTAGTCTAGTAAACAATCACACAACAACACAAAAAAAAGCCAACGGTAAGAAACCGTGTGTATGTTTATGTAAGGGCATTTCTCGTATATTTTTTGAAAAATATAAACTTCGACATTTTTTCTTCCAAAAAATAAAACGTCTTAAAATAACTTGTTAGCTTGTATGAAGTGATTGAAAAAACATTTTAATAGTAGGCAAATATTAGATGATGTATTTTTAGAATTGAGAGAAGCAAAAAAAATTCTTTTTCTCTCATGAAAATAAAAAATGCGTTATATGTCATTTGTATTTTAAAATTGCTTTATTCGTCATTTTATTCCAAAAAATAAAAAAAAAAAAAAAAGAAAACAAAAATGTCCTTCTTTTTTCTTCTCGAATAAATATGTTGTTTGATATCCGTCATAGTTTATAGAATGACAAATACAATCTTCCTTATCGATTGCTTTCTATGTTTTTCTTTTTCTCTTCTTCTTTGACTATATTTTTTTTAATATTATTTTGCAAGATCGGTTGTAAGTGAATAACATGCTGTTACGTATTATTAACAGAAATATTATTGGATTTTTATTTTATTTTGTTGATGTTTGTTGTATTTGACGCCTGGTTTTTTTATACTTAGTTATATATGGTGTGGCATTATTTATTTGTGCGTTTATAGTCTAAAGCATACGTATATACAATAAACACGAAGTAAGAGGAAAAAAAACAAGAACAGACGTCAGGACTATAGCCCCTAGGAAAAAAATCTATGAAACAAGTTTACAGAGGGCGACATATGGTCAGTAGTTGGATAACTTTAATTTTACTGTTGTATAAGGAAAAAATTTTTATTCTAGTTTTTTTAGTTATATTGTTTTATCGTTAACGACTGTGTAATAGCTTCTTTTTTTTCTTCCTTATCTAAATTGTTTAGTAAGACAGAAAAAAAACATAATAAAACGAATAAAAAAATAAAAAAGAACGAATACTATTCGTGGTCATACATTTTCTAATCAAACTATGTTAAGAATGAGAATTATTTCAATAATGTAGATACAATCAATCATTCTATATTTTCATCACACCTTCAGGTTTGTATATTCTTTTTAAAAATGAATACAAAGACATAAATGTATATAAAATTCAAAAAAAAATTACCTTTTATTTTTGTTTTTTTGTTTTTTTAGAATTTTTGAAATATTTTCTACGATGTACGGGAATAACAATAGCAACAATTCAATGTGCAATCAAAATCAGATACCAAAAAATCTTCCATTAAAAAAACGTCGAGCTTATATTATTGATACACCAACAATTGATATTGACAATTCGAATAGTGGTCAACATGAACATTGTTCAACACATCATCAATCAACAACGATCAAACAGTAAATTCATAATTTTGTTTTTTGTCTTATTCAAGCGTTTATTTATAAATCGAATAAGAACAACAGTGATCTAGTTATTTGAGATAGACATATATTTAATATATATCTCTTACAAATGTAGGAAGAAAAAAAAAGCAGCTTGAAATAATATTTTCCATTAAGAAATGAATTTAGTTTTTCTTTTTCTTTTTTATTAAAAATGAATCTTTTTGTATTTTCTTTTTTGAAGAACAATGTCTCAAGAAGATCCACTTCAAATTTATCTTCCACCAGCTGTTGCATCAACACCACCATCATCACCTCATTTAGAATTATTACGACAACATTATGCATATTTAATTGCTAATTCAACAAGTAATCAACATGAAAATACATGTCCATCATCATCTTATGAATGTATTATGGCACAAAAAGTTCTTGCTCAACAATTTCTTGATACTTATCGAACAGAAATTGAACAATATCAAAATCAACAACAATATGGTTATAAAGTAGTTGAAGGTATTTCATTTCTTCTTATTTTAAAAATAGTTTTTAAATAATTATATTTTTTAGATAAATCAAAAGAAACACATACAACAATAGATGAACATTTTCGAAAATCTCTCGGAAATAATTATGATAAATTTACAGGTGGATTTTTAACACCAGAAAATTCATCATCAAATAGTTCACCTACAGAACGAACACCAGGTTTGATTTAAAAACAAAAATAAACCAACTTTTATCAAATAAAATTATTTTATATTTTATTTATAGTTGATTCAATTGAAGAACATTTTGCTCGATCACTTGGTAAATTTTGGCCATTGACAACATCATTAAATGAAGATAAAACATCATTAATAACAGAATCCGTTGTTGATGATCATTTTGCTAAAGCTTTAGGTGCAACAACATGGGAAAAATTAAAAGACAAATCATGACTATATTTTAATACATACGTAATTCTAGCTGTATTTTTTTTTCTGTCTGTTTGTTATCATATCTCTTCGTTTTTTCTTTTCTCTATCTATCTGATGACACCCGGTGTCAATGTATACATGACAAATAAATAAAATATATTTGTTTTAAAAATTAAAACAAAAAAAATTTAATAAATAGATGAATAAGTTCGATTGATATTTTCGAAATTTATATTATGTAGTTGATTATATTGATTTTTTGTTTTATGTTTAGAAGATTTTTTAGCAGAAAAATTCATTGATGAAGATGGATTAGAATAATATGGATTTATTATTATACCAGGAGATGGTCGTCCACGAAAATCTGGTTGATTTAATGATGATTGACATAAATAATCGCACTTACTATTATTTATATGGGATTGATTATGAGCTAAAATTGAAAGAAATTGTTATAAACAAAAAAAGAAACGTAATCGATATCCTAAATAGATCTGTTCATTTTAAAAGATAATTACAACTATTTATGAATTCGATTAAACGAAAAAAAAGAGATGCTTACAAGTGTCAACATTGTTTCGCGTACCAGGCATAAAGTCAGTATAATTAGGTGGTCGAACAAATCCACCAGATATCATCATATTAGGTGGAGCAAACATAGCTAAAAGTTCAGATGCATATATTCAATTAATCGACAAACATAAACATACGTTGAATAGGTGGTCCAATAGGTGCTTGTGGAGGACCACTGCCCGAATGACATGGCATTGGATAACGAGGTACGAAAGGTGGATGAACGAATGTATAAGGCGACTGATTATATGAATGCATCATAGGTGGTTGTTGTTGTTGCAAATACGGATTCGATGGTGGAGGTTGTGGATGTTCATTTTGTACACGAGCAAAGCCTAGAATATAAAGAATAAAATAAAATTTTAATAATATATTGATAATGTAATCAACAATTTTATCCATTATTTTTTGATTATTAAAGTTAACGACAAACATAAAGTATGTCAATAGAATATAGGATAAAGTTCTAACCTTTTGCAACAATTTCAAGATTACGTGGCATCATAATTCTTGTTGATGGAGGTATCATTTGATTGTATGATTGTGAAGAAGAATAACTAAAATTATCGAACCTAATTATCATTTCTAAACGAGAAAAAAAAACAAACGGATTATTATTCTGAACAGATGTTTGATAATATTGATTATTATTATTATTATTATTATTATTATTTATTTGTTGTTTTTGAGTTAATGCATTAACACTTAATGTTATCAAAATTTCATCACCATCACGTGCCTAGAATAATTTTCTTTCAAAAATTATTAACTCAAATATCAAAAAATAAACCATTTGTGATAATGATTGTAATTGTTGTTGTACAGACATATTATGTAGATGTGTAGTTTTATCTACAACAGAATTTTGAGGATTTGTTTGTAATTGTTGTTGAACTTGAGAAAGATGTGCAACTATTTTATAAAAAAAAAATTCATCAATCGATCTATTAAATATTGATACTTGCTATTTGATTGTTGTGGAATATGAACATTAGATGGATCAGGTGTAATAAGACCATTTGTAGATGATCCACCTGACTGTGGTACAGGTATAGAAAAAGATTGAAATCCATTTATTTCTACTGGAGAATAGGATGGTGATTTTGGATTATTGAAATTTATACGTGTTGGATTGATTAAAGCTGGTGAATCTACAGCATTATCTGAATCAGTTGTTGTCGTTGTTGTTGTTGTTGTTTCTTCGATTTGTTTTGTTTTATCTTTGTGTTTTTTTGGTTTTTTCTTTTTCGCTTCATTATCTTAAATAAGATATCATTTCAAAAGTTTCAAGAACAAAAAAAAACCCTCATTCATTACTAATTACCATTGTCTTTTTTTTTCTAAAATTAGTTATATTTAATGAGAGAAAATATCATATTTTTTTTTCTTAAAAACTTACATCATCTTTTTTTTCTAGAATAAAAACAAAAGAAAAATTAATGATTTCTTTTGTATAGTTTTAAGACAAGATAAAATATAATTTACGTTTATTTTCATGAGAATCTTTTTTTTCTTTATCAATAGATTTTTCTTTTCTATAGAATATTAAAATATAAGAAAAAAAAATATGAATTAAATAAATTTAAACATCTAACTTATTCTTTTTTTCTTTATTATTTGATAATTGAAGATTTGAATTATATATTGGTGTTAAATGAAGATGATTATTATTTATAGCTGAATATGTAGATTGATTAATATTTATTTCTTGTGCTATTTCATGAAGTAAATCAATTAAAACATCACTATTTCCATGATCTAAATATTCTTGAAGAAAATTTATAGCATCTAATTGATTATTAATTGTTGTTGTTGTTGTTGTTTCTATAGATGATGTATTTAATTGAGGATTTGTCCAATCAATATAATCAGATTTTGAATTTGATTGATAGATTTGATCAGATAGATTTTGTTTTCTTAAAATTAAATTTGGATTATGTTCATTAAGAATAGTTTTTTCTTGTTGTTTATTAATAGATTTTGAACGTGAAAATAAATTCCATGAAATAAGTGTTGTTGATTGATTAGAATTTATTTGAGATAAGTCATCATCATCATTTTGTGTTGATACTGATATATTATTTATATTAGATTTGATATTTGTGTTAATTGAGAAAATTTTTGGATTAGTAGAAAAGTGTTGAGTATCATTTAATGAAAAATTCGAATACTAATACAAAAGAAAATACTAATTCAATTTAAAGAAAACTTATGAAAGTTGTTAGCGCAACCCCTGTGGAATTGAAATGTGAAAGACCATGTAGTTAATCTGATAAATTATAGGAAGATTACTTTAAAACACATTCCTTCACCACCATTTTATTTAATCTTTTAGAAATGCAGTAAGGAAGCAGTTCATGTAGACGTTATTGATGTACATTCTTCGATCGTATATCAATAACGTCTGTCACAATCTGTGGAGATACAAATTTTTACCCCTATACTTCAACACTCCTTTTAGATCGTATTTCATAACATAATCTTTTGTTTTAATTTTTTTTAATTTGAGATTTTTCTTTTATTATAATTTTCATTGTATGATATCAAAATATAACAATAATGATGAAAAATTTCGAATAATTAATTCATGTTATTATCAGCAAACTAATAAAGCTGTTCTTTGCTTTCCGTACATGTTATTAAATCATTTGGGTTAATACAAAAAAAAACCTGAAAGACAAAATAATGCCGAGAGGAAAACTGAAGAGATTCTTGTAGAAAGATAATAAATAAGAATAGAACATATATAATGTAATGGAAAATCAAAGAAAAATAAATAAAAACATCTGCATGATTATCAATATATATTTTATCTCTTAATTATATTTCGTAAATAAAATATTCGCGTATGAAATTGTTTAATATATTTTAAACCTCGCTTCTTTAAAATTATTTATAGCAAAATCAATTCACTCTGCCGTTTGACTTTGTTAATATCAGTTAATGAACATAAATAATTAAATGACTACTATCGATAATTGTAATTCTACAGTTTTGTTATATTAATAACTTTCAATATTGTTTATTCCGGAATCCCAAAAGATGCGTACAACGATTCTGAAGGCACTTGGAGCGATATGAGAATAGAAGTGTGGATGAAGAAAGATTGATAGTGTCCGTTTTGTTTTCTTATTCTCATGTCTCGTTTCGTACTCATCTTGCATATACCCATTTATTTCATTTTCAACACAAATAGCTTGTCTTGTTAAATTAATAACAAAACAAAAAAATACCTTTTCTATTTTAAATTTTTCACTATTGAACACGTTGTTTGTAAACACTTTAGTTGTCGTTAATTGATTTGAAATCATTTAATAAAACTAATTATCGAATAATGTCATGCATCTATTTCTTTTTTTTGATGATACCACTGACAAATATTTTACTTTTTATAATATGACAAAAAATTATTACAAATTCAAAGAATTAATCGATTTATTTTTTTGTCTTTTTGCGCGTTAATTCATATATGTATATATTTGGTGTTATTTTTCTTTGAATGCATGTTTTCTTTTCTCTTTATTTTAATGATAATGAGATCTTCAGAAGACAAAGCAGGAAGAAAAAGAAGAATAATGAACAAAAAAAAGAAAAACGAAACAAAAAAAAAAAGAAACATATCGAGCGCAAAAACTGACTTTAATTGTATATAATATATTATATGTATGTGTGTATGTTATATAGAAATTCGATCGTCGTTTTATTTTTTGAACAAACACATCGAGTGCACAAAAGAAATAAGAAATGTTTTCTATATGTGAAAGATAGATATTAGAAAGGGAAAGAAAAAGAAGACAAAGAAACATATTATGGTAAGAAAAGAAAGAAAAAAAACACAATAGACAAACAAACAAACAAAAAGAAAAATCATACGTGCATGTTTGTGTAAATGAATAAGATTTATTTGAATAAGTGAAAAAACAAAAAATATCTATTTGTTGCTGTGTTGTTGTTTTTTTTGGCTGCGACAAAAAAAAAAAAGAAAATGTACAGTGATCATGATAGTAAATCTCTCTATTGTTTTTTTTTTTTATTAAATTTTAATTTGTGTTCTTCTATGTTTTTTTTTTAATGGGAATGATTCTTGATAAACACTGTTTTTGTTTTTTTTTAGGAAAAAAAACACACACGCACAAATGAAAAGAAGAAAGTAAACCATGGCTGCTAGGCTAATGAATGAGAATTAGAGAGCCTATACTTGTGTGTATCACAGTCAGACGCTTCTTCATTTCGCTTTTTTCTTTTTTTTTTATGTGTTCATGCGTCCGAATTGATTTCATTGTGATAACACATCATTCAGAAACACAAACATACAGAAACAATTAATAAAATACAAAAAGAAGAAACATAGACAAACATACACACATACATGCAGAGCCACCCTATTTTATCAATCATTCATCAAGCTCGCCTACACTACTTTCATCACCGTCTGATTGTACATCATCATCATCATCATCTTCCTCATCAAGATCATCTGATTGCTCGGATGCATCATCATCCGATTCATCTGGATGAAAATTAACTGCACCATGTAAAAATTGTGGATGTCCAACAGCAGCTGATAAGAAATTACCAAAATCAGCTGGATGTGTACGAAAATCAAAACCAACGGCACCAGCTTGAATTGCCGATGGACTATGTTCATTACTACTACCATAAGCAAATGGTTCTTCTGAATACATAAAACCTTCAGCAGAATTACCAAATAAAGGTTCACCAGTAACCCTATAATAGAGAAAAGAAAATTTGTTTAAAAACAAATACAAACATTTGTTAGTATTGAACATCTTAGAAGAGAAGAAAAAAAAAAGAATTTCATGATAGATTTATTAATTATAATACTTGTTCTCTATGATATATGATTATTCATTATAGAACAGTTGCTAGATTATTGATTAAATAAACTTACCATGGATTCATTAAACATTCAGCAGCAGTAGCACGTAGATTAACATCATAATGAAGCATTGGTTCAAGAAAATGTGTAAATTCAATAGCTTCATATGGTGGCCATTTATATTTTTCAGTTAATACATGAAATAAATCCCATGGTTTTAATTGTTTTATATTACGTAATTGTCCTTGAGAAAATCAAATTCAAAGGATTTAAAAGAAAAAAAAAGTGATAAGAATGTTTTGTTTTCTATTTTACCTCGTTTATTAAAAAATTCTCTTGAATATCGACCTGAATGAGCTATTTCAATAGGTATTGGACCTAATAATTCAATAATATGTGCAATATGATCTTCATCTCGACTATAATCTTCTCCACTATGTGGTTCAAATAAATAATCGCCAGTAGCTAATTCAAATGCCATACAAGCGACACTCCATATATCAGCTGATGTATCATAACCAGCTCCAAGTATAACTTCAAGTGAACGATATTGTCGTGTTTGAATATCTTCTGTAAAATGTTGATACTAGAAAAAAATAATAAAAGAATATCAAATAAACAATTTCATTTGATTTTTATTATACTTACTGTCCAACAAGCATTTCCTAAATCAGCTATTTTAACTTGAAGTATATCTTCAGGTACAAGCTCAAAAACTGGATTTGGTGTTCGTTCAGCCATTGGTCGAGCTATAATCCCCCACGAAAAAAGTTAAAAGATTTATTTTGTAAATAAATACAAAAAAAAAAGAAAAACTTACGTCTGGATGTCGCATCCGATTCATTAGATATTGTTTGTTTATTTGAATCTCCTGAAATAGCAGCAGCAGCAGCCATAGCAGCTTGTTCATTAAGTTCTTGTTCTATATTATTATTATTATTATTTCCATTAGTTAGATTTGTTTGTTGTTCTTTTTCATCAACATTACTAGATTGAATTATAGGATTATCTTCATCACTTTCATCTGATTTATTTTCTTGTTTTTCTATTGAAGAATTTTGATGACCATTCATTTTTTGTTCACCGGAAATATTTTCCGAAATATCTATATAGAATAAATAAACAATAAAATTATAGAACGAACAAAAACAAAAGAAAACTAAACAGATAATGTTATTTACCTGGCTTTGATTGAGTTGTTTGATCAGTAAGAATCATTTTATTTAAATTAATTTGATTAGGTGAACTTAATAAATTTTGTTTTTGTTTTTCTGCATCCTGAAAAAAAGAATAATAATAATAAAATTTATACATATATATGTTTTTCTTTTTCGTACTTGAATTTGTTGTTGAGTAAGTTCTAACATTTTTTGTTTTTGTTTTTCTTTTTTCTTTAATTTTTTCTTCTTATTTTTTGACATCGTTTTTAGATCTGGTTTGTTTACAATATGTGCAGTAGCGACTATAAATAAATCAATCAATCAATCAGTAGATAAATATTTATGAAAAGAATAAACGATTTATACCAGCAGATCCAACTGGTTTAATACCAGGTTTATGCCATTCAGCAGCTTGATAAGCCAAAGCACGTACATGTTCTTCATCAACACACATTAGTACATTTTCAGGTTTGATCTAAAAACAAGAAACAAAAAAAAAATAAAATAATAAAAAAAATAAAATCAATCTTCTTTGTTTATTTTAATTACATCCGTATGAATAATCTGACATTTACGATGAAGATAATCAAGACCTTGTAGTACTTGTTTAGTAATTATTTTAACATTTGGTATTGGTATACCACGATAATTTGAACGTATTATTAATTTAAGTAAATTATGTCCAAGTACTTCAAAAACCATACATACATGTGTACCATTGACACCAGCTACTTTAAAATCATCTAATAATTGTACACATTTAAGACGATATGGATCAGATGGATCACTTTCACGAACATGTGTTAATAATTTTATTTCATCTAATGCTGTTTCAGTATAATGTTTAGCACTTTTTACAACTTTCATTGCAACAAATCTTGCAGATTTACGATCCCAACATAACCATACAGTAGAAAAATGACCTTGATTAAAAAAAAGATTTCTTGTTTTTTTATTTTTATTTTTTAATTTTTTAATTTTTACCCCATCCTAATTTTCGTATAACGTGATAACGTTGATTAAAAATAGAACCTATAGTTATCGGATGATAACCACCTTTACAATAATCTTTTGGATCTTCTTGTTCATCATCATCTGAACCACGTATGTCATGATTTCCTTCTTCTTCATTGTCACTTTCAACATTAATTGGAACAGTTAATGGACCATTTGTATGTGCTATATCTGTCATTAAATTACCATTATTACGTAAAGCTCTAGGAAAATACAAATGATATATTGTTTTTTTTAATCTATTTTTGAATAAAAATAAAATTACGACGTAGGAAGTGGAGCACTCGATGACAAGCCACCACTACTTGCAATTGTAAATGATGACTCCGATTGTGGTATAGGAACATATTCTGTTTGAATAGTTGGTGTTAATGGTGTTAACGGTGTTACAGTTGGTGTTGATGGTGTTACAGCTGATGGTGAAGGAGTTGTACCACTAGCAGTAGTTGTAGGTCTAATGAAGCAATGAAATAAAATAAAATTTGTTTTAATAGAAAAGAAATTATGTATGTTATATTGTTTCTTGTTATCGAGAATCGATTCAATATGATTTAACCTTGACGACTGTATATATATATATATATCTATATGTGTATCTCACCTACTTATTATTG